TTTTTTTTTGGTGGAACTGGGGATTGAACTCAGGCCCTTGAGCTTGCTAGGCAAGCACTTATTCTACTGAGCTATCTCCCCGTCCTGTGTGATGGTATTTGAATAGAGATTATTCACAGAAGTTCCACAGAAGGAATTTGTTAAATGATAATCTGAAATTATTTTTTCTAAAATAGACTCACAGAGATAATAACTACTTAAATTTAAGAACAAGAGAAAGTAGGTTAGTGTCTTTTCTTCCAATAGGAGGACAAAATAATTATTGTTGTTTAAGGGGCTTCATTATCCAAGGGAGATGATGACCAAGGAGATTCCAGAATACCTGGTGAGGGAAGGCTTCTTTGGCCAGGGACACTTCTGTGAAGAAGTGTCATCTGACTTGATCTGAGTGGTCAGCAGCCAACTTTAGGATAATTAAGGATAAAGCATTTCAGATAGGGAATGCTTGAGTTGGGAGTACATTTCATGTATTTGAAGAACAGGATGAAGCCTGGTGTGGAGGAAGATTACAGGAGAAAGGCACAACTAATTCTTATTAAGACATTTGAATTTTATATGAAGAATATAAGGGACTATAAGGAGAAGAGTGCTGTTACAGTGCAGCTCACACTTTGACTCATTCTTGTATATGGCCAGTGGACTATGAAAGGGTAAAAGTGGAAACAAGAGGTCCTGTTAGGAAGTTGTTGGAGTAGTCAGAAGAGAAATGATTGTGATTGTATTAGGACTTAGTAATGGAAATGATAGGTATAGATGGAACCAGCATATGTTTTTGATAAGAACTTACAGGATTAGCTAATAAATCAGTTGTAGAGTAATGAAGAATGAATCTATATTTAGAGTGTATGGTTCAGTGTTTTAAACCAAGAAACCTAAAAGAAATTAAGCTTCTAGGTCCCATCCCATAATGAACTCAAGTTGGAAGAGGCGAGTCTGGTCTCAAAATGGGGGTAAAATGGCCATCCAGTCGCCCCCAGTCTGACTCTGACTGTTGCTGTTGCTTCCCTGGGAAGGAGGGCCATGATCCAAAGGAGCCAGAACAGTTGAGAAGGAAGCTGTTTATTGGTGGTCTGAGTTTTTAAACTACCAGTGGTAGTTTAAGAGAACACTTTGAGAAATGGGGCACACTCACAGTTTGTGTGGTAATGAGAGATCCTGAAACAAAACCCTCCAGAGGCTTTGGTTTTGTGACTTACTCTTACGTTGAAGAAGTGGATGCAGCAATGTGTGCTCAACCACACAAAGTTGATGGGCATGTAGTGGAACCAAAGAGAGCTGTTTCTGGAGTGGATTCAGTAAACCCTGGTGTCCATCTAACAGGAAAATTTTTGTTGGTGGTATGAAAGAAGATACAGAAGAATATAATTTGAGAGACTACTTTGAAAAATATGGCAAGATTGAAACCATAGAAATTATGGAAGACAGGCTGAGTGGGAAAAAGAGGATTTGCTTTTGTAACTTTTGATGATCACAACAGTTGATAAAATTGTTGTTCAGAAATACTCCACTACTGGGGCTGGTGAGATGGCTCAGTGGTCTAAAGCACCTACTTAGAACAAGCTTAACAAAGCACAGGGACCACAGTTCAATCCCCCAGCACCACATGCCAGCCAGCCCGCCCCCTGGTGGGCTGAGCCCCCCCAAATAAATAAATTAAA